CCCAAAACCCCAAAACTCCAAAACCCCAAAACCCCAAAACCCCAAAACCCCAAAACCCCGAACAGACTGGAGAAAATTGAGCTGAATAAAATGAATTGAAAGGAAAGCAACCTCTGATACCTTATATTTTGAGAAGCCAGACTCGCGAATCCAGGAGGAATTTCTAAAATAATAAGGCTATTTGGTATGGAAGTATAATCTAGGTAGTCTAACACAGACTTTAACAACATATCTAGCGATAAACCGAGAAGTTGATAATTTTCCCTCAGTTCACAAACTATAAATTATAATAATTGTATCACTTTAAGTCAGACTATTTTTAGAAAATAAGTTTAATTTCTGTGCCATTTTTGACTTCTTTACAAATTTCTTGATACCCAACAATTTGGGTTGCAAAGATGTATTCTATTCGAAACTTTCCAAATTCTGGCTAATTCACTGAGAATTCAGGAGCCAGATATATGTTTCGAAATGTCTTTCCAAGCTATATCTAGTTGGAAGAGTCAAATTTCCTAAGATGACACTATTCAATTATATGTCTATACATCTACTTAGAAACCTTCATAGTCTGGATTATGAGATTTAATTTTACTGCTCTTTTTCCTCGGAATCCCTGTGAAAGGAGACTTATATACTCGGTGAGTATTCAGCTTCTGAAGCATCACACTACCTTGGCGAGACTCAAAGTTGTTCGTAGCTTTAGTAGAGACGTTCTTTTGAGTCTTTGTTTGCTGAGAAGACTGCCATAAATTCCTCTCCTTTTTCCCACTTGAGCTGTATTTCAGCATGTTCTTTTGCGCTTTATCAAAAATGTTCAAACTAGATTGAATCTGCTTGGAATTCGTATTAATCGGCTGGAGATATGGGTCTGTTTCACACTCCATAATCCCAGCCAGGATATCCTGGACCACCTCTGAGTTCATCTCTGAATTATTTTAAACTAATCCCACAGATCTTTGTTTTCAGGTTAAGTTTTGTGAAAAGCTCATTTTTCATGCTTCATGTCCGAATAAGATCAACTTTGGACTGCAAAGGAGACTGGGTAATCCTGGCAGAATTCTTAGGTCTTGAGTTCGTATCTGTTGACTCTTGCCTCAACTTGGAATTTACTGTATGATACTTAGAGTTCTTTGATGACCTCATATTAGGATTCTTTTGGTCTTCCTGCTTCTCATCACACTTATTAGAAGACCCTGCTGATGTGAAAAAGCTATGAATTAAGCTATATTTCCTACTTTGTGTAAAACTGAGCATTAAGTTTGGCCATTGACTTAATTTTGTCAGCTTTTCCGATAGAACTTCCCATGCGCCTGGGGTTTATTTTGACTTTCTGGTCTAGCTTTGGCGTAGAACCCAGAACCTTCTTAGCTCGGCTTGCAGGAGAAAGTATCCTTGCTTTCATTACAGGGAGTTTATAAGGGTTGAAGTTGAGGCTCTGGAAACGATCTGCCTTATCTCTTGCCTGGTTTTCATTTGGCTTAGGATTAGGTGATTCTCTGTTCTTAGTTTATATTCTTGCACTTAGATGGTTTAGATTTGTTTCTAGAATTATTTTTGACCTCTTGTTTGCCATGAATAGAAGATATAGATGATATTGACATCTTCTGCTGAAGGTCTTTCTGTTGATTTTTCATCCTTAAAGTTATATAGGGAATTTACCGAGGCATCACTGGAGAAATTGCAATTTTCATATTTGGCTTTTTGAGAATAGCCCTTCCTGACTTTTTCATTTCCTTCTGAACTTGAATGCGGCTAGTTTTTGGAAAGGGTAAGCAAGGATTTGCTTTTATCTTCAAGTTTAAAGGTTTATTAACCTTCCCTAGTTTTACATGTTTAGGAATAGGAGAAATTGGATTTTTGAAGCTGCTCTTGTCGATCTCAATTCTAGGTGAGAACTCAAATCTAACATTAGTCTGACTTCTCTTCTTAAAGTGATTGCTTTCTGAAATATCTTCAAAAGTTTCATGGTTATCCTCCTCTTCTATATCCTTCAGGTCACTGTCAGTAAACAGCTCAGATTCGGAATCATCTTGTGGCTGTTTCTTATCCTACACAAGAAATTAAGATTTTATTCTTCATTTTCTAGCCCATCACATACCATAAAGTGTAATGTCAATAACCGTTTTATTAAAATGTTCTAAAATATGGGAATTTCTAAGCCAAGATTGGAGCCCACCGGTAACGTTTATCTAGAACTCTTCCAGGCCCTTAATATCATTAACTTAGCGATTCGATGTCCCTCTGGAAGGCAGCATCATAGATTCGATTCCTCAAGGACTGCTTACCTTTTGTGTATATTTTATCAACTCCTCCATCGGAGTTGTGTTTCCTCTGAAGAAAGATGACCTCTTTGAAGCTGTAGTTTAGTAAGAAAAGGTAACGTAAAAATGTAATTAGAAATATTTCATAAGATTTTAATAGGGTATTTATTAATTTTAAAGGATTATGAAGCTTAATTGCGCTGATTTATGTGAATTTTAAGGCTAATTTTTATCTTACAGCTACGTAGAGCTTGTCTTTGCCTTCGAGGAGATACAGCTCTTTTGTCACCAGGTTTGTAGCTTGTGTTGCCGGTGTAATTGCCTCTTTTATAGTCAGAGTCTGGGAGAAGTTTGCTCTTGGAAAGGGATCTGATGATGTCTTGATTGTTAATTTCTTTTTCTGTGTCCCTCATATTTCTAGTACGATTTCTCCTTTTCTTGAATTTGGTAATTAATGCAATCCTTGTAACTCTCCCTAAACCCGATTCCTTACCCAAAAACCTACCATTAGCATCTAAATTCTGGTGAGGACTCAACAAAACATCATAACTCTCCCTAACTTCACTCAAAAAATCCCTTTGATAATCCATTTATTCCAAAACCTTGTATAAAATTATAATTATTCAAGTTCTAATTCTCTCCATGGGGTTTTGGGGTTTTGGGGTTTTGGGGTTTTGGGG